TCCCCGAGGCTGTTATTCACAATTCAAATCGACTCCTCAACCGAAACTCAATTCCTCTTCCTTGATAAACACGCATTGCACAGAAGAACAGAGATTCACCAAAAACCCTAATCACGAAAAATCTCCACCCGCCACGCTCACTCCCTCAAAGGCTGCATTTCCTCAAAAAACAGAGCTCGAATTAAACCCTAATCGAATATCAAAACGTTGGAAAACGACAAAGAAGAATACCCAAATTCAAGATGAAATTTACCAAAAAAAGATACGGTTCCGTCCTGCTGTTGCTACCCGTGAATCCGTTTTCCCTTAGAATCAGTTGAAGAAACAGAAACAAAAAAAAAAAAAAAAAAATCTGATTTCCAACAATTTCATCTTCATCAGTCACCAAACCAAAAGATTATTTTCAGCCACATCTAACAAGGCAGCATCAAAACGTCATCTATCAATTTACCGTTCCTTCTTTCTAGCATTTGGACTAAAACTACTTAGCTAAAAAGTACTTAGATTACCAAAAGAAAACTTATGAACATGCTAAAATTTTCTGAGCAGTAAGAAAACAACTACAACTAGGAGTAATTAAATCAAACTTAGATAAATTAAATGATTATTTAAGATCATCATCTAGTTTTGACTTGCCTTCTTGATGAAATATCCAATGTTATCATTAACATCCCATTCCAACTCCCCGCCCTCCTTTACTGAAATTTTTGATAAATTCTCCCCCAAAACACCATGCTCTACCACCTCCATCCCTTCATTAATCTTTCCCTCTGCTACCTCAGCATTATATGGCGAATCCACAGTTAGTTCTTTCCTCATCTTCTTGCTCCCAAAGCTATTCTTCCTCACTCGGAACAGCTCCTCCTTCCTCTTCCCCGCCTCCCTAACCTTTGATTCACCCACCACAGCAGAATCTTCTACGCATTTAATACCATTCCCGCCAACCCTTAAGTCAGCTGGAAGTGACCGGCGACAAGAGGGCAGCCGGCTAGCCCTGGATATTGGCCGAGCTGGCAGTGCGGGAGGCAGGTCCTTGGGCTTCTCACTCTCATCCCGTCGCTTCAGCGCCTCCAGCATCTCCTCCAGCGAGCTCTTAGCTAACGACGGAGGTGACGCCGATAACATCATCTTCCCCAAAAAAAAAAAAAAAAGAACCACCTAAATTATCAAAATCCCCGAGGCTGTTATTCACAATTCAAATCGACTCCTCAACCGAAACTCAATTCCTCT